TTTTATGGAAGCTATGCTGGGCAATTCTGGCAATCATTAAGGAGTATAGATTTCTATCCTAAACTAGTTTTTGATAATGGAATTTTATTTTATGTCTAAAGTATTTAGGGGTTTTCTTAGTGAGAAACTGAATTTTCCGTGGGGATGATCCACAGATGTGAGTGGTTTCTGTATAACGTTGTATTTAAAACCATATTATTATCTTTCATTATCTTAAAAAACCTTGGGTACTTAACAGTTTAATCACCAAATCCAGAACTGTAAGGAGAATCTAAAAGTGTTATTTTGACACTTTATAGTGTTATAGAAAGCATTTTTATATTCAGAAAACTTTTTATCCTACAAATTCTATATATTTGTACCTTCTATATTTTCCAAACAAGAGCCCAACTCATTAAGATGTTGAAATGAGTTCGTTAATGTAAAGGAAAATTGGGAGTGAAGGCACATTATTTAAAATGTAAGAGGTTAATTAGACTCATATTTTTTTTCAGTATTATTCGTAAAGCTAAATGAGTTTGATTTTATTGGTTGAAAAGGAAGTGAAAAGCAATTGAAAAGGATGGCTTTAAGCACTTTCTTGTTAAAAACAATAAATATAAGTTTTAATATATGTGTTGCTTCATAGATGAGACAATAAGAATGGACATTGCTTTAGAAGAAGTGGTTTGGAAGAGAGAAGGATTAGGAGTACGTAAGATGACCAGGACATGAGTAAGTGGAGTGTGACAGCAGGATGCTTTCGTCTGTACAGAAATGCAGTATTATCTGTACTCAGTCTGAGGTGCTGGGGTGGAGAGTGGGGGCTTGGGAGTATGGAGGCCAATCTCACAGAGCTGTCCCTAGGGAATTCAAGGCCTGTCACTGTCAGTGACTTAGTCTGTTTCCTTAGAGTTCTTTCCCCTAAACCTGTATTCTTGTCACACATAAATTCAGGTTTATAGTATCATTAAAAGGAGTCTTGAAGAAGCTTTATTTTCCATTGGTTGAAAGAAGGGAACAGTTAATAATAGTTTTGACCACTTCTTCCAAACCCACAGTCCAGACTTGTAGGGCCACCAGAGATTACTGTGGTACTCAATAGGTACTTGAATTTGAGCTCCTTCATCTCCTAACTTCACCTCTGGGGTCAATGTTAGCTACTTAGTCCTCCCTCCCCCATCCCAATGGACAGAGCCTGGCTGAGTCAAAGGGGGAGAGTGCCGTTTTTGGCCCAGGCTGAGATGGCCTTGTCACAGTTACCGTTGAGTAGGTAAGGACTTATTGGTGCATTTAGCTGAGGGGCCATGTCCTTTTTCCTTCTTCTGAGGCTGTTTCCTGACAAAATGTCAAATCTAGGGCTATTTCCCCAAGTTAAAGTATTCCAGACCTCATTCTAATTCCTATGTCACCCCTAAAGCAATTTAACTCACTTTTGTGAACACTAATGTGTGCTGTCAGCCATGAGACAGGATTTTCATATACACAGGGTACACAGCCTAACTCTGATTCACCCAGAAACCAACCACTTGAGAAAAATTCAGAAGACATTAATGAAAGCGAATATTGAAAGTGGGCACACATCTCACTTAGGAACGAAATATTAATTTCAAATCTAAAATTGTTTTAAAAGTCCAGTTTAAAGAACAATAGACTCTAGTGAAAATATTCAGAAAGAGCTCCCCACAAATATGGAATATGAGTTTTTTATGGTAATGTGTCCCAGCTCCACACTATATAAAGGACAGGAATTTTTCTAATATCTTTTTGTCTTCCAATGGTACTTTTTTTTTTTCCCCCTTTTTGTCTTTTTTCGTGACCGGTAACGGGATCACAACCCTCGGTGTCACGCCCGCACCGCACTCAACCAGTGAGCGGACCGGTCTCTATATGGGATCCGAACCCTCAGTGGGAGCGTGGCGCCGCACTCTACCGAGTGCGCCACCGGGCCGGCCCCAATGGTATATTTTTAAAAAATGCTTTTCTATTAGGTTTAAACATTTTGAAATGTCCCATTAACAACATTTTGTAAAACAAAAATCTAAAGAGTAATATATGGTATATTTGTGTTTCTGTTGTAATATTTTGATAATTAAATTTCTTACGAGGGGAAAATTACACTGTTTAAATATGTCACTCATAAAATGTCGCATGTTTGACATTGCTTCTAAGAGCCATGTAATTTTAAACTTTAATTGTGGTTAGTGAATATGAAAGGATTTCTGAATAAAAGATAAATCTACATTACTGGACTTTGAAATAATGTTATTTTCAAGAGCAAATGTAGAACATCGAGGTTTTATAGGTTTACCATGTCTGAATTGAGGACGTTACTGTCTGCCAAACTTCAACAATGCTTCATGTATCCTAGTGTCTTTTTATTCCTTGATATTATTAATATCATAATTACCAAAATGTACATTTCCACAAAAAATAGGTTATAAACTAGTGTTTTCCAGTGACCATCTGGTATCAGTTTTCCTGATTAAGTGGGGTATGGTATTAGTTTTCCTGATTAGTGGGTCTTTTGATGGAGTATTCTAGTGGACAATTTTGAGCAGAAAAAGTGCTCATTTTAGAAAATCATTTGGAATGTTAACTGCAGTCATTATTGTTTTCTTCTGGAACACCTACTGTGAAGCATTCAGAAAGCCCTAGAATTTAGTCTTTAAAACCCTTTGGCAGGATTAATACAGAAGCTGGACCTATGCTTCCTTAGAAACTCCCAAGAAGAGCAATGTCCAGCCAGAAACAGGAGGAAGGGGGAGTGTCTTGGGGTAGGACTGAGCAATAACAGCAAAGCATACCAGCTTTTCTGTGAAGCTTTCATCACCAGAAGAAAACAGTCATTTCAAATGGATTGATATGTTAATGTTAATAATATTAAGGTTTTAAATGTATGTAATGTACAACTATATAAAATAAACAAGGTTAGCTGCAGTGTATCAAGAGCAGGTTTATTTGAGATTTGTATGAACAAATGGAAACAGGAATTATTTTTTATTATAAATCATTTTTAAAGTTAGACTTTTTAAAGAAACTCTTTTGGATATAAATTTAGGGGAATTTGCTTCCCAGAAAGATTTCATGCATAAGAGAGTAAAACTATCCCTTTCCAGTTTAAAGTTCAATCAATCAATCAATAATAAATAAATAAATAAATAAATAAATAAATAAATAAATAAATAAATTGCAGGAGGCTCTTTTTTGAGCTGAGGGATAGACATTTCAAAAGCAGAGGAATAGCTACATTAAGAATTTGCCTGGGAAAACATTTCTCAAAAGAACACAAGTTTTTCAAATTCCTGGAGACAAGGGCTCCATTTACCCTACTTTCTACAATTACTTCCAGAAAAATGAAAGATCAGAAAGTCAGGTGTAAAGTTTGTGTGTTTTGGGGGTGGTGGATAGAGAGGATTTTAGAAAACATTTGATGGGGTCCTTGGATTGTTAAAGTGGTGTAGTTTTCTATGTATTTCAGGCAGTTCCCAAATAAAAAATATGCTCTAAAAGTTCACCTGTACGTTGAATTGAGATACAGTAACATGTACCCTTGAGCAATACTCCATGGGTATTAACTTAAGTTTGCCTCCCCCCCGGGCCCCCCCCCCAACTTATTCAAACCATAGGAGGCCTGAAAGGTAAGCCGTGGTACTGAACCAAATCACTACATTCTGTACTAGAAGAAAATATGTGTAATTTCTCTCCTCACTGCACCCTGGTGGTGAGATCAGAGCATGAATTCTCCCTGCTTCTGCCAGGCAGTGGTGACTGAGACTCAGAGTCATGGGTTAGTGTTTTCTGGGAGCTGGTGGTGAGATCAGAGCATGAATTCTCCCTGCTTCTGCCAGGCAGTGGTGACTGAGACTCAAGTGTTTTCTGGGAAGACTTCAGAGAAGTGAATATCCCATCACTTATTGCAGAAACATGAGTGGTGCGTGGGTAAGGAACAGAATGGGACTTATGACGAGGCGAGCAGAGATGCTTCCAGTGAAACTGGCTGTGAGGTGGGGCAGGTGGTGAAGGAGGGCGAAATAGCAAAACATTCTCCTACTTTCTTGTTGCAACTTACATGTATCCTCCCTAGTATTATAACTGGCTTGAAATGGGCCAAGAAGGAAAGTTAAAGTCTGTAGACCCAGCTGAGGCAGAAGCAGTTCCAAGGCAAATGTTGCTATGTAAAGGGTATATCTCTAGGTCACAGACATGTAAAGGTAAGGTCTGCCTGCATGTCGTATTTCCAAAAGTGTTTAAATTACCCATGTGTATATGAAAAATTAAATATACTTAATTTTCAAAAATCTAAAATCAAAACCTTTTTCAATATTTTGATGGGGTAAGAAAGGGATTGTAACCATATACTTTAAAGTTATGCTTTACTATTGTAAATACAAATGTATGACAAGAAAGGAATAACTGTGCTCACACTTCTAACTATAGAACTTGTAGCAGTATGGCTGACAGACTGTTCCACATTTCTGAAAACTACTTACTAGCCAGATATGTGTTTTGATCATTACTTCTTAACTTTCACTAGATGACTTTGTGGTGTGCCAGATAAAAGGACCTTTTAAAATCTCTAGAATCCCATGGCTTTGAAGCTACAATGAGGTGTAGCTGAGCTGGCTACAGCAGTATACAAGTAGCATGATTGATTTCAGTGTAATAAGTCTTCAATTTTAACTGAAC